ACAAGGTTCATTCCTAAATATAATAAAAGCAATATGCAGCAAGCTAATATTAAATTAAATGGAGAGAAACTCAAAGCCATCCTACTAAAATCAGGAACAAGACAAGGCTGTCCCCTCTCTCTATACCTCTTCAATATAGTGCTTGAAGTTCTAGCAATAGCGATAAGACAGCATAAGGAGATCAAGGGGATTCAAATTGGAAAGGAAGAAGTCAAACTTTCGTTATTTGTAGATGATATGATAATGTACATAAGCAACCCCCAAAACTCGACCAAAGATCTCCTACAGCTGATAAACAACTTTAGTAATGTGGCGGAATACAAGATCAACTCCAAAAAATCAGTTGCGCTCTGATACACAAAGGATAAAGAAGCAGAGAAAGAAATCAGAGAAGCATTACCTTTCACAATAGCGACAAATAGCATAAAATATCTTGGGGTAACTCTAACCAAGGAAGTGAAAGATCTATTTGACAAGAACTTTAAGGCTTTAAAGAAAGAAATTGAAGTACTTGTTTTTTACTGCTGAGTAGTACTCTAATATGTATATATTCCATACTTTCTTCATCCATTCTTCCATTGAAGGGCATTTAGGTTGTTTCCAGGTTCTGGCTATTACAAACAATGCTACTATGAACATAGTTGAGCATATACTTTTGTTGTATGATAGGGCATCTCTTGGGTATATTCCCAAGAGTGGTATTGCTGGGTCCAGGGGTAGGTTGATCCCGAATTTCCTGAGAAACCAAAACACTGCTTTCCAAAGTGGTTGCACAAGTTTGCATTCCCACCTGCAATGGATGAGTGTACCCCTTTCTCCACAACCTCTCCAGCAAAGGCTATCATTGGTGTTTTTGATTTTAGCCATTCTGACAGGTGTAAGATGGTATCGTAAAGTTGTCTTGGGTTTTTGATCCTACTGCACGTACTGGCTTTGGGGGAGCCTAGGCAGTTTGGATGCTCACTTTACTAGACCTGGATGGAGATGGGTGGTCGTTGGATTTCCCACAGGGCAGGGAACCCTGATTTCTCTTTGGGCTGACTAGGGAGGGCGACTTGATTGGGGGAGAGAGAGGGAAATGGGAGGCGGTGGCGGGGTAAAGACAGAAATCTTTAATAAATAAATAAAAAAAGAAAAAGAAAGAAAGAAATTGAAGAGGATACCAGAAAACAGAAGGATCTCCCTTGCTCTTGGATTGGGAGCATCAACATAGTTAAAATGACAATTCTACCAAAAGCAATCTATAGATTCAATGCATTCCCCATCAAAATCCCAACAAAATTCTTCATAGACCTTGAGAGCACAATAATCATCTTTATTTGGAAAAACAAAAAACCCAGGAGAGCCAAAACAATCTTATACAATAAAGGTACTTCCAGGGGCATTACCATCCCTGACTTCAGACTCTATTACAGAGCTACAGTAATGAAAACAGCTTGTTATTGGCACAAAAACAGAGATGTTGACCAATGGAATCAAATAGAAAACCCGGATTTTAACCCTCAATCCTATGAACACCTGATTTTCGACAAAGGAGCTAAAAGTATACAATGGAAGAAAGAAAGCATCTTCAACAAATGGTGCTGACATAACTGAATGTCAACCTGTAGAAGAATGAAAATAGATCCACATCTATCACCATGGACAAAACTCAAGTCCAAATGGATTAAAGACCTCAATATCAGTCTGAACACACTGAACCTGATAGAAGAGAAAGTGGGAAGTACTCTACAATACATGGGCACAGGAGACCACTTCCTATGTATAACCCCAAGCAGCACAGACATTAAGGGCAACATTGAATAAATGGGACCTCCTAAACCTCATCTCCTTGAATGCCACATGTCTTCACTTCCTAACATTTCACCCATGATTTGTTACTTTGTACCAACCCACTAATTTGGGAGGCACTTGCTGGGAATCCACAAACCATACCGGGAAGGGAATCACAAGGCCTAATTGCAGATCTTTACCTCTCCCTTTGCTCCTCGAAATAGAGTTCACCAAACTTACTGTCTCTCATCAGAAAAACATGTGCTTCAACTCTCCTTCCACTCCTTCATCCATTTGCAGTGGATCATGCAAATCATCCCTTCCAAAATTTATTTCCACCACTCTTTGTCTTTTTACCAGACCCAAACTCTAGGAACCTAAAGGCCACTCTGTAACAGGGAAGCAAGTAGCTAAACTGCAGATCTTTACCTCTCCTTCAATTTTTCCAAATCAATCCCCAAGTCTCACCCACAGCTCTTAAGCAAGCCTTCTGTTGTGACATTTCCTCACTACCCTGTACCTAGGAGAGTATCCAAGTACATCCTGGTGGAACACAGTGCTTTCCTTCCTCTTGTGAATTCATATCACTGACACCAGACCTCCACATTACTAAGTTTCTGGTTCTAACAGTTACACATACATTTTACCCAGAATCCCCAGTGACTATGACTATAAGAGCCTCAAAATATTTTCCTACTGGCAACACATAGACACAACATTTTTCTATGAAACAGAGAGGAAATAGAAACCAAAAAAATTACTCGAAAAATACAAGAGTAGAAGTAAGCACCTTTAGCTGCCACCTTCCCAATCCCAGATGCCCAGATGCTCATATAAAAGCACAATAATACAGCCAGGACAATATGCCTGCACTAGTTCACAGAAATTCTCTTGCACAATACCCAGAATAAACCAACATAGTTAAAGCAAAAGGAAAAATCCTTAAAACAGCCTTTATAAACATGATAGTTTGTTAAAGAGGACATGAATACATTCCTTAAAGAAATCTTTGAAAGGAGAAACAGTGATAGGAAAGGAATAAAACTGTTCAAAACCTGAAAATGAAAATAGGATCTATAAGGAAACTGAAACTAAAAGAAATCTATAAAAATATATTTCAGGAACTTAAACAGGACTGCAGATGCTATTTTACCATTGGGATACAAGAAATAGAACAGAGACTCTCAAACATGGAAGACATTGTAGATGAAAGGGATATAAAAGTCAGAAATTTTAAATCTAAAATTCTCCTGACACAAAACACCCAGGATATTTGGGTCACCATGAAAGAATCTAAACTAAGAATAATGGAAATAGAGGAAAAAGAAGAAACCCAAATCAAAGTACAGGAAATATTTTCAACAAAATCATAGAAAAATAAGGAGATGTCAATAAAATTACAAAAAGCATACAGGACACCAAGCAGTCTGGAACAAAAAAGTATGTTTCCTTGGCATATAATATTCAAAATACTAAACATAAAAGAGAAATTATATTGAAAGCTTAAACGTAAAAAGACCAAGTAATACTTAAAGGCAAACATATTATAATTTCACCTAATTTCTCAATGGAGATTTTAAAAGGAAGATAGACCCCCATATGGCCCCCTTCTCTTTCTTGCTCTGTCTCTGCTACCCCTTGTCTTCAGGAAACAGAAGAAAGTGACTGACAAGCTACCAATGCAGACGAAACTGTCTTTGAAATTTCATGCTTCATGGAAAAGTCTGCCAGATAATATGGGTCTGTAGGCTGAAGATGCCACAATAGTATAGAAGAACTTTGGGTGACTGTCCAGGCAGCAAGATGTCTCTGTCAATTCTAGAGTTTTGGAACTTGCTTACAATGTACTCCCTGTTTACTTAGGTAATACTATACTCTTCTGGAGTCTTTGATGGAGTTGAAGAATAGATAGCTTTAATTATAGTTTTCCTTAGTTGTGATAAAAGATAAAGTAGATATAAATATTGTAACTGTAATTCTTGCTTGATACCTGTTTTGTTATATGTAATTTTATTATGTTAAGCTTAAAACCTTCTTTCTTATTTAGACATAAAAGGGTAGATGATATAGGAAGTTCTTCTGTATATGTATTGCTTTTATTGGTTAATGAATAAAAAATATGCATTGATCTGTGATAGGGCAGAGAAGAGTTAGGTGGGGAAGACTAAACTGAATGCTGGGAGAAAGAAGGCAGAGTCGAGAGAAGCCATGGAGCTGCCAGAAGAAAAAAATGCAAGCCTCCACCTTGAAACTTCCAGGTAGGCTATGAGCCTCATGGTAAAATATAAAATAACAGAAACAGGTTAATTTAAGAGATAAGAGTGAGCTAGAAATATGCATTAGCTATTGGGCAAAGAAGTGTTTTAATTAGTATAGTTTCTGTGTGATCATTTCACTTCTGGGCAGCCAAGAACATACAAGCAGCCTACCTCTACACACCCACTAAAAATTACTGAAAAGGAGAAAAAGTGATAAACAGGTAAAAAATACTGAACATAAATGTAATTTTATAAATTTCTTACATCATAGGCTATATGAATGAAGTTTTAAATTCTCTATAAATATAAATTGTTTATTTATTTAACCTAAATGTCCCAGAGTAAAAATCACTTATATTTTCTTGTAGCTTTTATTATTTTTATAATATTACAAGGATTTTTGTCATCCATCATCTATCTATCTATCTATCTATCTTTTGTTTTTTCTGAGACAGGGTTTCTCTGTAGCTTTGGAGCCCGGCCCAGAACTAGCTCTTGTAGACCAGGCTGGCCTCAAATTCACAGAGATCAGCCTGCCTCTGCCTCCCAAGTGCTGAGATTAAAGGCGTGCGCCACCACCGCCTGACTACAATGATTGTTTTAAAGCTAGAATTCCATAAAGAAAATTGGAGTTAGCTGATAAAGTATAACAAACCAGTAATAATAAAAACAAATCAAATATTTTATGGCTCAAGCATGATTAGGTCTGGAGAGATGACTCATAGTTCAAGAGCTATTTCCTTATTTAGTACCCGAATTCAGTTCCTAGTACTCAAAGCAACTGAGTTACTGCATCATGTAACTGCAATTTCATGAGAACCAATGCAATAATCTGGCCTTTAAAGACACTACACATAGAAATTTGTACACACACACACACACACACACACACACACACACAATAAAGCTGCCACTACTCCATTACTCCACTACTACTGCTACTACCAATTATTAAAAAATACTCCAAAATACAGTAACATTATTTATTATATGACCACACTCAGTCATTCACATGTACAACAACAGGAAGATAAACCCCACTGTCCTTACATTATTTAAAAGTTTTAAGAACTTATTCCCATGGGAACAACCCTGGAGGGAAACCAGCCATTTTCTCTTGGAATTTCTTGTTGAAAGCTTCAGCTTGGGCTACTGTAAAGTGATTCTTCCAGTCCCCAGTCATGCCTGGAAAATGTGAAGCAAACACATAGATGAGTTAATGATGTTCTTAATACGGTTCTCACTCCTTCACATGCTGTTACCATCTGCTTGACAAGGACCCCATAGTTAATAAAGTGGAACCATCAGTAACTCTGTGGAGCACACTTCTTATTCTTTGAAATAATGTGCATCAGACTTTTACCTCTACAGAAATAATGTCTCACCTTCTCTTATCCCAACCTATCAATGACACAAGTTAACAACATCAACAATAGCTCTAACTTCTCTATGTCCAGATTATTAGTCTTTCAGTTATTTCTGCTTCCATCACACTATCCAACCCAAAAAAGTTTCTTATCTCAATTTTCAAAGCAGACTTAAATTGTTCTTTCTAAGTTTTAGTATTAAGTGTAAAAATTCTGCAAAGCATGCAATCAACTTTAAAACATCTTTTAACATTAATTTTAATTATGTGTGTATAGGCACAAGTGAATGCAGGTGTCTACAGAGATTTGAGGCATCAGATTGATGTAGGTGGATCTTCTATCTATCTGTTGTTTTGTTGGTTAATTAATAAAGAAACTGCTTGGCCTGATAGGTCAGAACATAGGTAAGTGGAGTAGACTGAACAGAATGCTGGGAGAAAGAAGCAGAGTCAGGCAGACTCTATAGCTCTCCTCTCCAAGATGGACACAGGTTAAGATCCTTCCCGGTAAGCCACCACCTCATGGTGTTACACACATTAATAGAAATGGGCTAATCAAGACATGAGAGTTAGCCAATAAGAGGCTAGAACTCATGGGCCAAGCAGTGTTTAAAAAATACAGTTTCTGTGTAATTATTTTGGGTATAAAGCTAGCTGGGTGGCGGGACGCAGCCCGCCGCTCCTACTACATTAGATCTCTTTGAACTTGAGAAACACACTGTTGGGAGCTACATTCAAATTATTTAATGCTTCCATCTGATGCAGGATACCCAGATACTGCAAGCCAAGAACATTCCAAGATTACTGTCTTCAGTCAGTTTGGTGTTTGATAATGCATGAATATTTACATGATTCATCACTTCATTCTAGTATGCCTTTAATTTTGTCATTTGAGATGCCGTATTATCCAACTGCTCACATTTCATTGTATTGTGTTCCTTCACGCTAAAGTGTGGTTGTGTTCCATATAGTTGCTTTTAGTACATTTTTCCTTATTTATGTCACTATGACCACTTCTTCCTATCTTCCTTCCAAGTAGAATTCTGTAGTCCTCATTCTTGTTCTATTTTATTTCATAGCTGTAATACTTTGGCACATTTTCTTTTTGTATAGGACCACACTCATTCATTCACTGTAGTAATAGGGGTGGCGGGGCTGCGTTCCCAGCACCCCGGCCGCCTGCACGGCTAGCTTATGCCCGAAATAACAACACACAAGCTGTATTCATTTAAACACTGCTTGGCCCTTTAGCCCTAGCCCTTACTGGCTAATTCTGTTATCCCGATCAACCCATCTCTAATAATCGGTGAGTACCGGTCTTACCGGGAAAGGTTCAGCATGTCTAACCTAGTGGCTTGCTTCACGGCGTGTGTCTGCCCGGGAGCGGGGCATGGCGTCTCTCTCAGGCGTCTGCTCCCGAGAGGAGAGCTGTGGAGTCTGACCTCACTTCCTCTTCCTCCCAGCATTTTGTTCTGTTTACTCCACCCACAGGGCCAAGCAGTTTCTTTATTGCTTAACCAATGAAATCAACAGATTGATATATGACACTCCCACATCAATTCACATGTACAACAGGAAGATAAACCCTGAAATAAGATAAGCCTGAAATAACTAATTTATCTAATATCTAATATATTTGAAAAGGAAACTTATATCACCAAAAGCTTCATTTATCAAATCATATCATTTAATACCATATACTCAGTATGGAACTAATGAAAGCATTCATGAATTAGTGAGGAAGATACTGGTCTTGTCCTCATTTTGTTCATGAGGAAAAAAATTAGTCTTTGAGATGTTACCCAGTGTGATAATGATGAATGTGAATTTGAAGCCAAAAAGATTGACAATAGAAGTCATGCTTTACCTTATCACCTTCCATTCCTTATTTATCATGTAAGGTAACTTTAATTTACAGTAGTATAATTAAAGAAAATATAAAATATTCTTAATTAAATGGTAATTATTGGTATACCATATTCAAATAATATCTCATTGATTGATGTGACCATACAAGTCTAATCTGTTAAAATGGGAATCTATCAGCATCCATTGCTACTCTCAGCTTCATCATTATCTTCATTACTAGAGCAAACTTTGTTATTGCTTCCCAAAGCATGTCTGATGCCTGATAAGCCAGATTAGATGCTGAGCTACCTGAATCTCAGAAAATTCAATATGGTGCCCACTGGAATGTATCAGTCCAAATGAGAGAAGCATGTTTTTGCAGATACACACATGAAGTTCTGAGTCCAACTTTGCCAATATCCTGTACACTTAATATGGATACATTTCTCTTTATTTGTTCTTTCTAAAAATTCCCTCAATCTCTGGCTAGCTATGGGAAAGGATAACCCTAATGTGTGGTGACTTAACTCTTGTTGGAAAGAAGTTTGCTCATAGATCTGGAGACTGCAGGTATCACAAAAGGTTGTTATCCAGACCATCCCTTGGTTCTTATTGGCCTGTAGATAGTGGGCTTCTCCCTAGGTCTTCTTCCCTCTGTGTCTCAGATTAATGTCTTCTCAGGACACCAGTGAAAATTATTAATGACTCGAGAACTCTGTCATGGAAAAAATCTAAAATATTTGAAGTTTGTCAGAAGACTTTTTATCACATATTTTGATTGTGATAATGTCTTTATAAAAGTTCTGTCAACTAACCAGTGAACAAGGATGGTAATCTTTCTGGTCTTTATTTCCTGCAGTATCTAAATATAGAGCCATAATCAACAAAATTGTTTGTGGAAAATTATGGCTTGATGTTTAAAACCAGATTAACCCCACTTGGTCAAATGGTTTAGTCTCTCAGGTAAGGACCAGCTCTTCAGAGGCAAGAGAAGGTATTTTATATGTCCTGAGAAATGCAACTAAAGGACAATGAAAACAGGTCTACAGAATTCCTCCAGGTTAAGGCCAGCATAACACTTAACACAGCTTTTCATGTATTATGATCTAGGGAATTAGGTACATAATGGTAAGTAATGAATTAATTTTAGAATTAATATTTGATCTGTTCATAATTTCAAGATTAAAAGGGGAACAATCTGATATAGGAAATGAGAGACTTCTTATGTGAGACCTTCATTTCTAGTTCAGAGAACTCTGTCTCCACAGAGTCCAGCACACAGGAATGGGATATTATCTTTCAAAAGCAGTGGATTCTTCCAGAGGCCTCAGTCTTCAGTGTATAGATGACCAAATTCTTGAGGAGACATGTTTTTGTTGTCAAAACTGCGTCCAAACTCTCTCTTGTAAGGACACCAGGAGTAATGGATTAAATGAAACCTGTTAACCACTTAAACTTATCTATCTATCTATCTATCTATCTATCTATCTATCTACCTATCTATCTATCGCTGATGTCCTTATATTATAAGATCTAAACCTCACACTGTGTGATGGAGGAGAACTGAAGGTTAAGGCTGAAGCATGCAAATTACTGGGAGAAGAATATTCAATCCATTATTCTTCACTTCCTACATATATACCCAAATTTCTTTTTTTTTTCAAGTCAGGGTTTCTCTGTGTAACAGCCCTAGGTATCCTGGAACTAACTCTGTAGACCAGACTGGGTTCGAGCTTAGAGATTCACTTGCATCTGCCTCCCAAGTGCTGGGATTAAAGTCATGCACCACCACTGCCAGATTATACCCAAGTTCTTTACTCATCCCCAAAGAACTGACATCTGACTTATGCTTCTTTAAACCTGAGTCTCATATCACCTATTATCTGCTAATTAAATATAGATGATACTCCAGGTGTGATTCACTCTGGCAAAGTTACTCCTCAAGTTTACAACTATGAAACCATAACCACAGTCTTCCCCACACAGACAGGATATCCAGATGTAGAGAAGCTGGCTAATCCCATTCCAGGGGAGACAGTTTAGAATAAACTGAGTACTCCCAAGCCTAAAGCAGTTCAAATTTAGATTGCCAAATTGTTTCAGATTATAACACTTGTGTGAATAATTTGCTTAGTCTTTATGAGACCTATTCTCAGATGGAAGTGTTTCAGCAATCTTAGCATGTTAAACATCTTATTCAGCCATTAATGGAAGTGTTTTCTGTGACCATCATCCTAGATATATCTTTGATCCCTGGATTAAACATTTTCTTTAGAGTTGAGGTATAAGATACACAGAGGCTTACAAAGCCTCATTGCAACATATCTACACTTTTGTTTCACAATGAGGGTATTGGTATTGCACACAACCATCTGCAATCCTAATATGTACCTACAGAAAAAAAATCCATTTTTTTCAGAGTTCCTGAGGACCACATATTCACCACCAAAATATTCCCCAGTAAGGTCTGTGAAAAACCATGATGTAATGAACAATGAGTTCTGAAACGTTCCCAAGTATTCCTTAGAGTCTTATTGGAGCAACAAGACCTCTACTTGTTCTGACATTTTTTTTTTTTTTTGGTTTTTCGAGACAGGATTTCTCTGTGGTTTTGGAGCCTGTCCTGGAACTAGCTCTTGTAGACCAGGCTGGCCTCGAACTCACAGAGATCCGCCTGCCTCTTCCTCCCAAGTGCTGGGATTAAAGGCGTGCGCCACCACCACCTGGCTGTTCTGACATATTTTGAAGCTAGAAAATTTCTTCACCTTTTCTCAGGAGGACCAATCCGTTAGTAACCTCATCTTCCGTGATGAGGCTAAAATTGGACATTTTATTTTCTTTCATTGCTTGAAAGGAGCTGTACTTGAGGACCAGATCGAGTTCATCTGGCTCTAATTTCTTTCCTAGGAAGTCACAGATCTTCTCTATGATTTTCCTTGTGTCCTAAAAGAAGAGGAAAACAAAATGAGGGTAATAAACAGAAAACACTGACAGAATAGATACACAGAAGGGAAATATAGATGGCGGATGGAAAAAAGGAACATGAAGAAAGAAATGAGAAAACATTGAAAGTTTAGGAAAGAAACAGGCCATGTAGAAAGAACAGGAGTTACACATAGCATTTATATATTGTATGGACTTGTTGATCTCTGGCCCTAAAAGATAGAGGTTAGAATTTCTTATATAGAGGAGAGGGCGTTAGAGAGAGGATCTCATATAATTAAGGCTATACTCAAACTTACTTGGTAATAGATGGGGACCTTGAACATCTGATCCTTCTGCTTCCATCTCTGTGTGTTCACACGTGTGTGCCAACATGCCTACTAAATGAACTGGGATGTCTTTTTCTTGAGACAAGGTCTCACTACAGAGCTCTGCCTCGGTGTATTAAATTTACTATGTAGACTAGATTGACTTCAAGTTCAAAGAGGTCAGAGATCAACCTACATGATTTTACTAAGTTCTGGCATTAAAGGTGTGCACCACCATACCCAACCTGCCCTAAGATGTTTAAAGTAACTTCTAAAAGTATTTGTAGACAATGATAAATTGGATTGATGGCAATGTGCACAAATAATTTGAGAGAGGTTAACGTTTACACCATGCAATAATGTCTCCTATGGGAAACTGAGAGTGACATAGCTTTACAATACTTGCATAACAATGGCAATGGGTTTCTGATTCTACTGCATGTACTGGCTTTGTGGGAGCCTAGGCAGTTTGGATGCTCACCTTACTAGACCTGGATGGAGGTGGGGGTTCCTTGGACTTCCCACAGGGCAGGGAACCTTGATTGCTCTTTGGGCTGACAAGGGAGGAGGACTTGATTGGGGAAGGGGGAGGGAAATGGGAGGCGGTGGCGGGGAAGAGACAGAAATCTTTAATAAATAAATAAATTTATAAAAAAATAAAATAAATAAAAATAATTATCATGGGGGGTATTTTTGGAGATACTATTTTGTTTTAAGGTATGATCTTGGGCTATAACTTAGATGGGCATCATATTCACCATTTTCCTACATCAGATACCCATATACTAGAACTATAACTGTGCAATAGCACAACTGCCTTAATCATAGGAGATTGTCATAGCAAGACAGAATCTCGGAATACTGAAGACTTTGCTTTGAATTCTAGCCCCTTTCCTGGGCCCGTAAAGGTACTATTGGCTCAAAATAGTTATTACATGTTTTATTACCAATTAAATCAACATATCATGGGAAGGTAAACAACCATGATGGTAATAAAATATAATGTATTGAATGGTTGGACAGATTTATGGGAAACTGAACTACCACAAAGCACAGACAGCTGAGTATGAAGATTTCTGGGGAATATTGAATTTTATTAAGTGAAAAATGATTTGACAAAAGGCAAAGAAGTTTTTGTTTTTGCTATTTACAAGGAAACTTTCTGTTCCTTGAAGAAAAACAAGATCAAGTTCCTTTTGAATAATCTAATTTTCCTGGTTTGTTGCTCCTAAATATTTTTCATTAAAAATTGTTTTCATGATTCCTGCCAGGGAAGTTAAGTAGACTGACTGAAGATCTTGAACATTCCCTGTCCTCATACACATAGAAATCCCTAGTCTCATCCCCAGTAATGCCACAGAAAATCCATGGCAACACCCCCATCTAGAATGGATCCAATGGATCTTCTTTTAACCTTATTCCTCCAACTCATTGCACCATCCCAATCCCCAACTCCAACAGGCCGTCTTTGGGAAATCAGAGACTACTATGGCCATGGAAGAGCTAAGATAACTAGAAATCTTTATTTCCTCTTCATTCATTTGAGTCCAAAGATCCTGTCTGATCCCCAGCTCCACAACAGAACACCCGCATTAGTGAACTACTTCTCTAGTGGAACTCACAGACACCTCGCAACAGCTCTACCCCAACAGATTGCTTTGTACCACACCCCAACTCCATCAAGCATCCCTGGGAAACCACAGCCCAAGCTGGACAAGGAAGCACATAGGTTAAATCCTGATTTTCATCTCTCCATTTGCTTTTCCAAATCCAGTTTCTTAATCTCATTCTCAGCTTTATGTTTAACACCTTAAGCAGCTGACCTCCCTCAAATGCCCCATTTGCAAGTGGATGTCTTCAATCTTATACTCCAAAGTTTATTCTCCCTATCAATTGCTTTCTTCTAGCCCTAAAATCCTGAAGACACCCCCTAAGAAGGCATAGGCCACTCTAACTAGAAAAGCAAGTAGGTTAACTACAGATCTTCATCTCTCCCTCCATCCTTCCAAGTCTAAAGCCCAGTCTCACTCACAGCTTTATAACAAAACTTCTGTTGTAGCCTGTCAGTGTCCTTCCCCAGTGACTAACTAAGCAGATCTCATGGAAAACTCAGATGTCTTCTCTTCTGTGAACTTAATTTTTCTGCCCCCTCCTAGCCCATCTCCATTCCTAAGAGTCATCTTTCCATATCTAGAAACACATTTTACCTGGAATCTCCAGGGGTCACACTTATTAGGATCCCAGAAAAAATTTCCTACCAGACAACACACAGCAACAAATAAGTACCAGTCAGGGCAACAAAAAATAAGGAAAGAATCACCAACTGAACAAAGACAGGACCAGATATCATCACCTATAATTCCAATTTACCGATACCAGCTGCTATGCAACACCCTAAAAACACAATTAATAATATCCCGGACAGAATGTCTCCACTAGAGCCCAGTCACCCTACTACAGCAGGCTCCTAGTTTTCCAACATAGCTGTAGAACAAGTAGAAACTTTTAAACAGCCTGTATGGTGATGATAGAGATCCTAAAAGATGAAATGAACAAATTGCCCAAAGAAATCTATGAAAATACCAACAGTGGAATAATATTAAAAAAATTCAAGGCGTAAAAGTAGACACAGAATCAATCAAGAAAACCCAGAGTGAAGAAAATCTGAAAAAAAAAAACCCTAGGAACACAACAGGAACCTCATAGGTGAGCTTCATGAACAGACTATAAGAGATGGTCAAGAGAATCTCAGGCATTGAAGACAACATAGAAGAAATAGATACATTTGTTAAAGGAAAAGTTAAACCTAAAAGCTCCCATCACAAAGCAATCAGAATATTTGTTACACTATGAAAAATCCAAACCTAATAATTTAATAGTGGAGGTTGAAGTAAAACCCAGGTCAAAGGCACAGAAGACATTTTCAACAAAATCATAGAAGAAAATTTTCCTGCTTAAAGAAGTAGATACCTATCAAAGTAAAAGTAGCCGACAGAACACCAAATAGATTGGAAAGGTAAAGAAAATCCCCTTATTGCAAAATAATAAAAAATCTAAACATAGAGGATAAACTATGGATGGATAGTTAAGAGCTAGAATGGGAAGATCAAGTGGGGAGGGAGAAAGGAGAGAGACTTGAGGAACGGAGTATGGAATTAGACTGCTAAAGTTAAGAAACAATTCATAAAACATATATACAGCCTATTACAGCAGAAACTTCCTAAAATATGTATGTATGTACACACACACACACACACACACACACACACGAAAGAAATCTAAAGGATATAAACTTGTATTGGGTGAGACGGTCCCAAATGGCCATCTCTTATCACCAAAGGAAGCTTCCAGTACTGAGATTGGGTTAGATCTAGTTGATTTGTTTGCCAAAGTTATCCCCTGAGAACCCCTAAACAACACAGGCTATTGCTGAGATTATAGGTTGTTCTCAAAAAAACTGACAGCAAGTTCAATTGAAGACAATACCTTTACAACTCATTGGATATGGAGATGCTGGACTGATGACTACATAAAACTTTCACTCATACTTTCCAGCATCTTTCTTACAGGAATGGATTCTGCATGCTACTAAAAAAGAAATATAAACATGAAACCAGCCAAAAATCCTTTGATCTACAATGGTGTTCTAACTGCAAGATATACTAGTGCAATGGTGTCACAAAGCTCATGGGAATAACCAGCCAGTGACTGACTTCATTTAAAGATTGCTTCTCAAGACAGAACCCATACCTGACAGTGCTTTGATGAGCAGAGACTAGATAACCTGGGAAACTAGGGGTAAAGCCAAATAATACTGGTCTAAAAATTTAGTGACAGCATGACTCCTAAAGATATTTTGGTATACTCAGATTAGTGTTTATTCAGACAGCTTCATAGAAGCTTTCTCCCAATGCAGTTGGGAACAAATATAGATATCCACAGACAGACAATACAGAGACTGAGATACTTTTGAACAATCAGCCATACATGGTAAGTATCCACCAAAACTCTCCCTTTAGAGCTTAGAGAAAAGGAAGAAGAAGGAGGAGGAGGAGAAGGGGAGAGAAGTAGGAGGAAAAAGAAAAGGAGGAGGAGGAAGAAGAAGAAGAAGAAGGAAGAGGAGGAGGAGGAGGAGGAGGAAGGGGGAAGGGAGGAAGGAAGGAAGGAAGGAAGGAAGAAAAAAAGAAAGAAAGAAAGAAAGAAAGAAAGAAAGAAAGAAAGAAAGAAAGGGTGTGAGAGCCAGACAGGAGGGAAGACGCCAAGAAAACAAGGCATTCCTCATCAACATAGGTAAAGTTCATATGAACCCACAGACTCTAGCAGCGTGCAAAGTATCACATTAGACTGCACCAGTCCTTTGCTTATATATTAGGGCTTTAATTTTGGTGTTTTTGTGAGCTTCCTGAACTCACGTGTGTAAATATGTTAGTCTTTGCTTGTGCCTTCTCTAAGTTGTTTTCATTCTGTTGGTTTGCCTTGTTTAAACTCTGAGGTGATACTATTGTTTCTTCATATTGTATTTCATTTGTTATATTTTTCAAAAAAAATGAATGAATGAAAATTTAGCCACCAGGTAAAGGTGTACTGTCATTTATATCTTCTGGGAAAATCAGTTTTCTGCAATGCAGTAGCACTGTATATATCAACCACTTCAGGGAAGTCTTCATATTCAGGAGTAGTTGATGAAGAGATAATAGACTCCACAGTTTGTGTGTATGCGTATGGGTGCATGTATTTCGTTATAGTTCTATGGTTTTATATTTTTTTTCTTGTAAGGTATTGCTTTATTTTGTGAGGGGAGATTTGTTTTATTGTTTTTGTTTGTTTTTTTGAGAAGGATCTTACAGTTAGGTGGGTAAAGAGGTAGAGAATATTTGGAAGGAATTGTGAAAGGGAAAAAGTATGATCAAAATATGATTAAATTTTAAAAATTGATTTGAATAATAAAAATAAGAAAAAAATTTTAAAAAACCAAAGAAGCTAGAACTATCAGTAACCTTCATCGTCACCAGAGTCTATTTCTATAGGTAAAAAGTGGCTGTAAGACTGCTTCGTCTCCGCCTTAGATAAGTTTTTGAACACTACTCAGGGTGGTCAAATGTTTTCTCCCATAGAGATTGTGATCAGTGTAATTTTTTCTTGCTCAGTAAAAGTACAATTGTTATCTTTATCTGTAATACCTTTCACCTATAACTTAAAAATATTTCTATCAAATGGTCTTTAGAAACAATGTCTCTTATAACCAAGGTTAACCTCAAACCCAACATCCAAAGATGATCTCTGAATCTGTCTCTGTTTCCCAGTACTAGGTTTACAATTATGTGACACCCTTCCAGGAATATTTTTTAGTTTCTAAAATAAGAGCTATTTGAGAGACACACATAGGATTTAAACATGTTTATAACATTCAGTTGTGCGTTTCAATCAAATAAAATCTGCAATGATCAAATAAGGTAATGGCATATCAACCTATTTAGATGCATGTCATTACTTAATTTTGAAAAATTTTAGATATTTTCTAATAATATTTTGAAATCTCCAGTTTATTCTGTTCCAACATGCAGAACCCTCTGTACCTCATGAGCTTGACACTGACAGAGTAGGTAGAGTGAGGAAATTGAGGAATATGGGGTGTTGCATGGGGTTGGTTGCTGGAGATTGTGGGGCTGCTTTGAGAATGCTAGTTACCTTTTTCATGTCTTCATAGCTCAGTACCAAAATGTTGTCCATTTTTCTCATGGACATCCAGGCACAAGTATGGTTAAACCATGATCCATATGCCACTGGTGGGGAGAAAAGAAGGTGAGGTTTGTCTGATATTCTTCACTTTTCTGCAAATTTTTACTAAGAAAAATCAAACCAATATTTAAAGTATTCAGTGTGACATTTGCTTGTAGCCATGTCAGAGGAGCACCAGGTGGCAGAAAAGGTTCAGGAAATTGGTTCACCCACAAGCAAAGCTCTGATTGTTGAATAAGAGATAAGGAAGGCCCCAAGGGCTTGGCCCTAGAATGTCTTTTGCTATACTGCTGTTTCTTTACTCAAACCTATGGGACAGCATGAAAGCAGTGCTAAGAGGAAAGTTCATAGCACTAAGTGCCCAGATTTAAAAAAAAAAACAGAGAAATCACACATTGGAGAATTAACAGCAAACCTGAAACCTCTAAAAAAAAAGAAGAAGAAGAAGAAGAAGCAGACTCACCCAGAAGGAGTAGAAGACTGGAAATAATCAAACTGAGGGCTGAAATCAACAAAATAGAAACACAGAAAACAATCCAAAGAATCAATGAAACAAAAAGGTGGTTGTTGGAGAAAATCAGCAAGATCGACAAACCATTATCCAAACTAATCAAACATCAGAGAGAGAACTCGCAAATTAATAAGATCAGAAATGAAAAAGGGGACATAACAACAGACACAGAGGAAATTCAGAGAATCTTTAGATCTTACTACAAAAGCCTGTATGCCACAAAACTAGAAAATGCAAAAGAAATGGACATATTTTAAGGTAAGTACCATATACCAAAGTTAAACCAAGACCAGGTGAACAATCTAAATAGACCTGTTAGTCGCGAAGAATTAGAAACTGTTATCAAAAACCTCCCTTCCAAAAAAAGCCCAGGAACAGATGGTTTCAATGCAGAATTCTACCAGAACTTCCAAGAAGACCTAATACCTATACTCCTTAATGTATTTCACAATATAGAAACAGAAGAGTCATGGCCAAATTCCTTTTATGAAGCTACAGTTACCCTGATAGCAAAACCACAAAAAGACCCAACCAAGAAAGAGAATTACAGGCCTATCTCACTCATGAACATTGATGCAAAAATCCTCAAACCGAAAACCAAGAACACATTAGAAAAATTATCCATCATGATAAAGTAGGCTTCATCCCAGAGATGCAGGGCTGGTTCAACATATGAAAATCTATCAATGTAATCCATCATATTAATAAACTGAAGGAAAAAATACCATATGATCATTTCATTAGATGCTGAAAAAGCATTTGACAAAATTCAACATCCCTTAATGATAAAGGTCTGGGAGAGATTAGGGATACAAGGGTCATACCTAAATATAATAAAAGCTATTTACAGCAAGCTGGCATCTAACATCAAATTAAATGGAGAGATACTCAAAGCCATCCCACTAAAATCAGGAACACGACAAGGATGTCAACTCTCTCCATACCTCTTCAATATAGTACTTGAAGTTCTAGCAATAGCAATAAGACAACATAAGGAGATCAAGGGGATTCAAATTGGAAAGGAAGAAGTTAAACTTTCGTTATTCGCAGATGATATGATAGTATACATAAATGACCACAAAAACTCTACCAAAGAACTCCTACGCTGATAAACACCTTTAGTGATGTGGCAGGATACAAGATCAACTCCAAAATATTAGTTGCCCTCCTATACACTAAGGATAAGGATGCAGAGAGAAAATTCAGGGAAGCATCACCTTTCACAATAGCCACAAATAGCATAAAATATTTTGGGGTAACTGACCAAGGAAGTAAAGATCTATTTGAAAAGAACTTTAAGTCTTTGAAGAAAGAAATTGAAAAGGATACCAGAAAATGGAAGGATCTCCCTTGCTCTTGGATTGGAAGGATCAACATAGTAAAAAAATGGCAATTCTCCCAAAAGCAATCTATAGATTCAATCCCCATCAAAATCCCATCAAAATTCTTCACAGACATTGAGAGGACAATAATCAATGCTACATGGAAAAACAAAGAAACCCAGGATAGCCAAAACAATCTCATACAATAAAGGAACGTCTGGAAGCATTACAATCCCAGACTTCAAACTCTATTACAGAGCTTCAGTATAGAAAACAGCTTGGTATTGGCATAAAAACAGAGAAGTTGATCAAGGGAATTAAGTAGAAGACCTGGATTTTAATCCACAAACCTATGAACACCTGATTTTTGATAAAGGAGCTAAAAGTATACAATTGAAGAAAGAGAGCATCTTCAACAAATGGTGCTGGCAGAACTGGATGTCAACCTGTAGAAGAATGAAAATAGATCCATATTTGTCACCATGCACAAAACTCAATTCTAAATGGATTAAAGACCTCAATATCAGTCTGAACACACTGGACCTGATAGAAGAGAAAGTGGGAAGTACTCTACAACACATGGACACAGGAGACCACTTCCTACGTATAACCCCAGCAGCACAGACATTAAGGGCAACATTGAATAAATGGGACCTCCTGAAACTGAGAAGCTTCTGTAAAGCAAAGGACACTGTCCCTAAGACAAAAAGGCAACCCACTGACTGGGAAAAGATCTTCACCAACCCCGCAACAGACAAAGGTCTGATCTCCAAAATATATAAAGAACTCAAGAAACTAGACATCAAAATGCTAATTAACCCAATTAAAAAATAGGGCATTATGGGCTGGAGAGACGGCTCAGTGGTTAAGAGCATTGCCTGCTCTTCCAAAGGTCCTGAGTTCAATTCCCAACAACCACATGGTGGCTCACAACCATCTGTAATGAGGTCTGGTGCCCTCTTCTGGCCTGCAGAGATACACACAGACAGAAAATTGTATACATAATAAATAAATATTTTTAAAAAATGGGGCACTGAACTGAACAGACAATTCTCAACAGAAGTAGTTCAAATGGCCAAAAGACACTTAAGGTCATCCTCAACCTCCTTAGCGATCAGGAAAATGCAACTCAAAACAACTTTGGGTACCATCTTACACCTGTCAGAATGGCTAAAATAAAAAACACCAATGATAGCCTTTACTGGAGAGGATGTCGAATAAGGGGTACACTCATCCATTGCTGGTGGGAATGCAAACTTGTACAACCACTATGGAAAGCAGTGTGGCGGTTTCTCAGGAAATTTGGGATTAACCTACCCCAGGACCCAGCAATACCACTCTTGGGTATATACCCAAGAGATGCCCTATCATACTACAAAAGTATTTGTTCAACTATGTTCATAGCAGCATTATTTGTGATAGCCAGAACCTGGAAACAACCTAGATTCCCTTCAATGGAAGAATGGATGAAGAAAGTGTGGAATATATACATATTAGTGTACTACTCAGTGGTAAAAACAAAAAATGACTTCTTGAATTTTGCATGCAAATGGATGGAAATAAAAAACACTATCCTGAGTGAGGTAACCCAGACCCAAAAAGATGAACATGGGATGTACTGACTCATAATTGGTTTTTAGCCATAAATATAGGACATTGAGCCTATAATTCGCGATCCTAGAGAAGCTAAATAAGAAGGTGAACCCAAAGAAAAACATATAGGCATCCTGCTGGATATTAACCTTCATCAGGCAATGAAAGGAGACAGAGACAGAGTCCCACATTGGAGCACCGGACTGAAATCTCAAGGTCCAAATCAGGAGCAGAAGGAGAGAGAGCACGAGCAAGGAACTCAGGACTGTGAGGGAAACTGACACAGTTTATATTGAAATTACTGTGGGATTTTCTTTTGAGCAAGATGAAAACACAAGTTCCATATGACTCAGCTATCAGGTGTTAAGTATATACTCATACAAATTAGGTATATTTTATGATATACTTAGGTATATGCAAGTGCAAAAGTACTCAAACATCAGTCCTCATTGCAGCTCTCTACCCAATAGCTAGGAAACAGATTCAAACTACGTGACCATCAATTGAAAATAGATAATGAAATTGTAATAGGTATATACAATAAAATTTCATTCAGTTTTAAAAATAAAATTCTGAGTAAAATAGATGGAACTAAAAAATTTACCTAATGAAGTAACCTTGTCATAGATTGACAAACATTATCATAGCCAAATTCCTTTTTTTTTCAAGATGGGGTTTCTCTTTGTAGCTTTGGAGGCTTTTCTAGAACTCACTATGTAGACCAGGCTGGCCTCAAACTCACAGAGATACATTTGCCTCTTCTTCCCAAGTGTTGGGATTATAGGCATGTGCCCACAACCCCTGGCTCATAGCCAAATTACTAGTGTGTTTAACATGTGCTTATTAAGAACAGGACACTAGAAATGGGCCATTAAAAGGACAACAAGAAAAACAAATACCTCAAGGAAAGAGAAATTCCAGAATATATAATATATATGGTATAAATGTGAAGGGAGGAAATATGAGATTGAATGTGTTTATACAAAGATATATATATATATATATATATATATATATATATATATATATATATATGGGGTAGAATTAACCAAAACCAAGAATATATGAAAGAATATATGAAAGTTCCTTACAGAAACTCATTAGTGCAGTGCCATTTCACTTGTATTTCAATAAAGTTTGCCTGGGGATTGAAAAAGTATAATAGCCACTCTGTACAGCCAGAAATGACATAAACCTTTAATCCCAGTAGCCACAATAACATGCACCTTTAATCCCGGGAGCCACACTAGTTGCAATACAAACTATGCAGTGCATTCCTTTAATCCCAGTGGTGAATGCCTTTAATTCCAGTCCTTGAGAGGATTATAAAATGGTAGGAAACAGCTGTCAGAAATTCCTGGAGGCATGATTGCCATTTCGGACTGAGATCAAGGTAGACCTAGTGGCTGCCTGCTTTGCTTTTCAGATCTTTATGTTGAATTACAATTTCTCTCTCAGAGTTTTTATTGATCATGTTTCACATTAGTTTGTAAGATCATTTAAAAAATATTAGAAAGTTTAAATCAAAGCACTTCGTGTGAGTGGACAATACTGCCCCCAGTAATCATAGAAATCATAGAAAACTTCATTGCTGGTGTTGGGATACCATCCTCGGAGTTGCTCCCTATGAAGGGTCTAAGTATCCAAATAATAAAGGCAATTGTCACTGTTGTCAGTTGCCCCCCACTAAAAAAATGAGCTGGTAAGACCATATTTCTATAAACATCCACATATGCTTGTTACAGTACATAAAGAGAGCAAGCTGGGAATGGGCTGAAACATACCTTTCTGCTGAATAGTCTTCATAGTACCAGAAGGAATTATGAAGGTTCTTAGTGGGAGATTGTTGTCAGTAGTACTACTCAGCTATGGAAACTGTGATCTATACTTAAATACCCTTACAAGGTGTGCCAAATGGTGCAATAATGACAATTGTAGTATCAGAGTAGCCAATAATTTTTGGATTGAGAAGAGTTAACATTTGGTACAGTCAATATAGGTGAATCTCCATGCTAAGAAATAGGTCCTAGTGCAGAAGCCATCACTGTTTTTCTGTGAAATGGACATGACATGCACATTAACTTGTCTTCTAAGTAGACGTGTTTCTTCTTATATATCACTATTATCAGCATGGTCAAAGGTGATTCTTCTTATAGTGGGCAAAAATAATTTTGCAAACTCAAAACTGGTCCAAGTGCTGAGAATAAGTGCCTTTTTAATGATCATTATAAATGAATAACCCAATAAAGGGTTAAGAATCATGGATGAAGAAGATACAATAATGATATAAGAGCTTAAAGATTGAGTAGAGTGGTGTGGAATGCTGTCTTCTAGACATAACATGGTCATAGCACACTTTAACTCATAGTAGCAGTGATTATTTCACACAACCCACACAAGACTGGGCTCTTTAATATTCTATCAAGGAGATAGCAAGTACTTCTAAGATTCTACACCTTCCCTTTGGATTTATAAGCAGTTAAGCAAACTTGGGTGCCAGTGCTCATGAGAACCCCTCTTAAGGATCTATATGCAGTTAGTGATTGCTGGTAGAAGGAAAGTACTTTTTCAGTAGAGTAGCTATGTTAAGGTGTCCATGTTTCTGTAAATGACTCCTCACTTGTGTGCCTATAGCAACCACAATAGCTAACTGTGTCACAACACACACGTGAAGAAAAGGAACATGAAAGTAGAAAGGAGAAATAGTTGAAAAGAGGAAAAGGTTATGCAAATATAGAAACAGGACAAGATGGATTAGTGTGTCATTATTGTGGTCAAAATACATACATGTGTAGAAATATAATTTATGAAAAACGTTATTGTATATAATTGATATATTCCAACAAAAGTTATAAAAGGATAAAGTATAAAGAATCCCTGCCTATGAAAAAATTTGAGACAAATAAGAAAATGTGACTTAAAATATTTGGAAAGTTGCATATTAACAAAATGGTGTATGGTCAGGCTAATATATGGGAAGACACGTGAAAAAAGACAAGAAAATCCACAAATAAGAAGAGTTGTAGGAATAAAACCACGTGTTATTTTTCTGTTGCTCTGATAAAATACTATGAACAAAAGGAACTTAAGGAAGAGACATCTTATTTTTGGCTTATATACTTAGAAAATTAGAATAAAAGATGGGGTAAAGTAGGTACTTGCAGAAAAGTAGCAGGCAGGGCTATAGAAACTGGGAGCTCTGAGTCATCTCCTTAACTACAATCATGAAACAGAAGGAAGAAACTAGAAGTGGTTTAAGTATTTAACCTCTCAAAGCCCACACTCAGAATATACTTCCACCAGCAAGGCTGTTCCTCATAAGTCATCTAAAATATTGCAATTGATGCTTTGAAATAGTGTTTGGAGCATTTGTCATTCAAACCACCAAAAATGATAATATCTACATTAGTACTAGAAAGAATTCCAAATGTTGCCAGAATAGTGGGCCATGGGGCAAGATGTTGCTGTGCACTGTTATGCAAAGATGTGTGAGAACAGGAAGACTTCACAATTAAATTTGAAATGGTCATGAAACTTGAATGCACAGATTTGTTGATTGTAGAAATATATGATCAAGAGAGATGAAGACTACATAATATACTAAAGGCTAAAGATGTATCTAAGTAAGATAACTTACATGACATTTGGGTTTGAACTCCAATATAAAATAAACAGAACATGGTAGTAAGTGCTTGTAGTCTAAGAACACAAGAGGAAGATGCAGGAAGAGAAGAGTTTCAAGGTCTTCCTCAGCTATATAGGAAGTTCAAGTCCAGTCTAATCTATAGCTCACCTTGTCTTTGAAAAATGTCCCTGAGCCTTACCCAGTTCCTATATTTAATGGGACACTCACCATTTCCTTTGAGGAACCATTCAAAGTAAGTACTCAGTGACTCTGGATTCTTAACAAGATTTGTCTTACACCAGAAAAAATAACCAGACACAAGTACATCTCTGGGATTTCTGATGACATAGATCATCTAAAATAGAAAAACATGTACATGAAGGTCACTATAGTCATTCACCACTTTTTAACTGGTAAAATTATTATGAAATCCCAAACATATATCCATGAGGTTTCTAAAACATTTATTATTTTTATTTGGTCAAAATATATACATAAATAAAAATATATGTAGTCAGAATCCTCTTGATAATTTTATATGCTTTGAAAAATGTAATAGCCAATTGACTAAGGTGACTAATACTGTAGAAAACAAAACAACAACAACAATAATAATCCAAGACTGATTCTAAAGTTGTAAAGATCAACGTCTCTTAGGGTAAGGAGCCATCTATCCACTAGAAAAGGACATCTTACATATATAAAGTGATTAGTACTGTGCTAAATCTATCTGCAACATGACAAACCTATTGGTTTCTGTAACTGTAACTACCAAATATACCTCTCAAAAAATCATGGTGCAGAGCTTAATGCCAATGTGTCATTCCACGATGGTGAAAAAAAAAAGACCTACAGGCAACTAAGAAATGCAGAGAGTTAGAGAAAATAATTTCCACTGGGAAAATCATAACAACTGGGTATACAATAACAAATGCTCAGTCCTGAAAATGTACATTCAAGGAACATTGTACAGACTGATCAGGTTGTACTTAAGTGTTTAGGAATATACATATATGTATGTATGTATGTGTGTGTATGTGTATGTATATGTATATGTATACACACACATATAACATATAATGTGTGTGTGTGACCACAATTAATGGTCAAAACATGGATATCTCTGATATCTACTGGAATTCCTCTAGCTGGGACATGGGTGATGATTCCTATGGTTACTGATCTCAATGAACAGCTAGACCAGAAAGACATAATGGGTAGAGATGAGCCATAATTGTTGAACCATCTCCGTGGTTAGAACTTTGGTGCCTGTTCAGACTGCTTCCTCCATGAGCAACTCTGCCTTGGTTAATTCACCCACTGTGCATGGGGTATTTGTGGAATCAAAATTGGCTAATTGACTTTCATGACAGCAAAAGAGTAATAATCACTATACATTAAGATTTTAACTTTGCTTGGCCTGTATATATAGCTCCTGAAAGTTCTACTGTGATACTTCATTTTTCTCATATATCTGCCCAGGATCTCTGTGTGGTGGTTGACATCCTTTTACTCTGATACAGTCTGAGTAGGGGACACACCAGCATCACCTAATGCTTGGAAATCTCAGTTTCCTCCCCTAATCTATAAAATCAGAGTGTATTTTAGCAAGAGCTGCAGAGCCTGTCATGGTATACTAGGTTCCGTGAACCTTTGATCAAGAATTTCTAAATGCCCCTTGACTGAAGAATGGATAAGGAAAATGTGGTACATTTACACAATGGGGTACTACAAACAGAAAAAAAATGACATCTTGAATTTTGCAGGAAAATGGATGGAGCTAGAAAACATTATTTTGGGTGGGGTAACCCAGACACAGAATGACAATTATCACATGTGCTCACTCATAGATGGTTTTTAATCATAAAGCAAAGAAAACCAGCCCACAATACCAGAGAACTTATACAACAATGAGGACACTAAGAGAGACTTACATTGATCTAATCTACATGGAAAGTAGAAAAAGACAAAATCTCCTAAGTAAATTTGGAGCATGGGGACCTTGTGGGAGGTTTGAAGGGGAAGGTAGAGGCAGGAAGGGGAACAGAGAAAAATGTAGAGCTCAATAAAAATCAATTAAAAAAAGAATTTCTCAACCTCTGGACACTGACCTTGGCATTGGAACTGAAGAAAGACCTGGGAAAAATATGGAAGGGAAGGTGGGAGGTGATGAGGCGTGGTCCTTTCCTGTTGATTAATAACTGATATCCTTCTTCATTGTCTATCCAGGGTGAGCGTTCCCAAATGGGAACAGATTGAATCCACTTGGGATTCCCTTTAGTCTGAATCAAGCAGATCATCTCAATTAGCCAGTTAGTTCCTGAAAAGAAGTGATGGTCACTCATTTCCAAAGTACTTGTGAAAAGACTCAAATAGAATACACAACCATACAATTAACAGTGCAGCATTTCCAAGCCACAGATCTGTTTTGCTCACCATGTACATATGGTGTAAGTACAAAACATATTTATCTAGCAATTCCCAATGTTTTGCATGGAAAAACTAAGACTATACTCAATATACTCTACTTGCCTACTGAACATCTCTTCCAGTTCTCAGCCATCACCATTCTCCATTTGGGTGCAGTGAATTTGAGTAGTCTATATATTTCAAAAGGATGCAGTCATGAAATCTGTCCTTGAGACTGACTCCCTTTTTTAAAATGCAATGCCATTGAAATGCATCCATGCTGCAGTGTGTGTATGAATACACCTTCTTTTTAAGATAAGTAAATCCCTTTTTGTCTATTTACCACACACACTAGTATTTGTGTTTAAATGCTCATCTGTGAGTGGATATTTTTCCAACTTTCTTCTCTGGTTACTGTCTGAATCGTTTCCTGCATTCTGCTGCCCTTGGTTTTCTATATTATTGTATTTTTCATGTTAACAACCTAATACATACTCAAAGTTCAGTGCTTCTTCCACTCTGCAAGCATCCCTTCCCCAAAACCCATGATGCCTCTTTTTTGGTTCCTTGAGATTTAAGACTCTTTACACTGTCTGGACAACAAGCATGGTGATTCACCTGCATGACACTGTAGTCTCTACCACATATTCTTATATCCGGGCCTTTTTTTTCTTCTGATGCTCTTTCTTTTGTTAATTCTCATCTTTCTCCCTCTTCCACTCACTCTTCCACACAGAGACACAATGCCAGAGTCTGCCTTAGGTTTCACTGCCATTGCTCTCATGGTTTAACTGATCCTCTGACCACACAGATCAAGCGAGAGTTCTTTCTCTGAGTGTAAATCTGCTGACACATAGCTCTTCATGCCCACAAATTATTTTAAACATTAGATAATCAGATATAGAGAGCATTTCATTCATTGCCTAAATTAATGAGGATCAAGTCCTAACCTTCCTTATATAGTTTAGGATCATTCTCACTAACTCCTTACCTGATTTGGGGTAAGTCAGTATGACTGTGTCTTCATCTCTCACCACAAATTTATCACGGATTTCTTCAAGTAATTCTTTTGTATAACCCAAACCAGGGAAAGGCATCCCTTCAAACCAAAGGTAGTCTGACATGGCAAAGAAATTTTGTAGATGCTCTTATGATTCCAGACTTAGCTACCTGTTCAGCTTCTAGCAAATCTTGAGAACTAAAATTTATAGTGTGGGAAAATAAATTATTAACACCCATAGTTTATTGTGAAACTAGCTACTGATAGGAAGAAAGAGATATTGTAACAACCAGTCAAAGGTTGTTGTATTAAGCAACTGTGAACTCATTCAGAGATCATTCTTTAGCATATCTGAGCTTGAGTTCATGACTCCACACTAGAAAATCAATAACAAGCACCAGGACATAGAAATGGGGATTAATTTAAAATGCTTTTTAAATATAATTTAGCTTTCAGAATGCTTTCAAATGTGCATAAAATTACAGAGATTATACAAAATGTTGTCATTTGCAATTTTTTAAAAAATTAGTGGTTGTTTTTTGAGAATTTTAATGTTCTTTAGCTGCACTATATGACTTTCACCATCTCCCTCTTCTCCTTCATTCATCCCCCCATTTTCCACATTTATGATGTGTTCCTTAATTTTCATTGCTATTTGCACATGGTAACATATACATATAACCTATGGATTCCATTTAGTTCTGTATTATGTGAATGTATCCTAAACTGAGCACTTTTGATTGTACGAGCACTTTTGATTGTACGGCCAATATGGGATTTCCCCTCCTGAGGCAGCTGATTCTTTCTCTTTTAGCAGTCATTGACCTGATGTATTTCTTCATATGGGGATAAGACCATGTAGAATTTCCTCATTCTTATTTGAATACCACCTGGTGCCGTTTTGCTGACTAATTTAGTGTGGGTGCCCACAGTGACTCTCTTTGATAGAATATGATTCCCTATGTTTTTTCAAACATCCTTAGTATTATTTAGCCCTCTTTCCAATATAGCAGGAATAATAAAACTCAGAGCCAGATATTGGGGTTCAACCTGAAGATTAGAAAAGCAAAGCAGCCAAGGCACTAGAGAAGTCTTACCTCTACCAAGGCTGGTTGACCTCAGACAAAGCAGACTAAACATACTAAGACTCTCTACTTCCATTTTACATTCCCTCTAGTGCTAGGATTACAGGTGGGTGACTCCTTAGTACTGTAATGAAAGGTGTAACAACCATCTCCTGAATTTGTTTCTGCATTTGATCTTGTGTAGCCCAGGGTGGCCTTGAACTAACAGAGATCCATCTTTAATACCAAACCCTGGTATTAAAGGTGTGTGCCACCATTGTGTGACCTCTAGGGGCTTAACTTTGCCATTCTGATCTTTAGGCAAGTTTTATTTATTAAAACATCAATAACCAGTGTATTTCCCCCTTCTTGTCTAAAATAAAAAAGGTTATAACTAGTATAAGGAAAACTACATACAGTAAGTACAATAACTATATACAATATATACAGGCAATAAGTACAACAACAATTTCTAGTCCATTTGCATTTGATAAATTCAGGGAAATACTCCTTATCTATCCTATCTTGGTGAGTCCAAAGTCTTGTACATAATCTATTTTCTTCCATAACTTACTTTCTACATCTGGTAAACAAGGAAGACTATAACAAGATAAGGCAGATTCCCGACTTCTGGCTTTATTCCATGGTTCAAAAATCTTAGTCTCTTCTTTGAACCAGATACTCCATTGAAATTGTGTACCAGTCTCTCAAACTCCATTAACCAAATCTTTCCAGTCATAATGGATAATTCTATTACAAATTGACTGCAGGTTTAACACTTGCTTCACAAAAGTTGACAGCATGCCATATGAGACTACTGCTTCCTTGAATCTCTGTAAATCTAACAACAGCACAGGAGTCCAGTTAACTGTAACAGAGCCTTTGCCATTTGGCAATTCCTGTAAGATTACAAGATATATTATGGTTGGTTGTCTGAAAACGTTAGGCTATTCCTCTCTAATCTTATAATGCAAGGCTAAAGTTGGCCTTCCATTAAATTCTTCTGTCTGGGTTCATACCTCTCTGTGATCTGTTTTATTATATTTTCCAAGGCCTGTATTTTAGCACTCAGATTAATTGACTTTTAGTGATAAGGCAAAATCATAATGCTGAAAAAAGAAAAGAAGGCCTAGCCAGGTGGGACTGGAGCTGACATGAAGCCCTGGCTTGTAATGGTGGTTAAAAAGCCTGAAGCAAATGGTTTTAACATGACTTCATACCCCAAACATCTTTGCTTTTCTTCATATCTATCATACTTTTCATTGAATATATCTATTATGCCTTTCATTGAATATATATATGTATATATATAGAATATATATACATATATATATATGTATGTCTATATTATTAATGTTTAAGTTTTTCACAATGAACAATGAGTTTTTCCTGAAGTGACATTTGAAGTTTCCAGGAAGAAGATGGGGCCCCACAACAACAACTCTACCTGGTTGATATGACGTCATGATACCGATAGCACTACTACAAGACCTGTTTTGGGTACCAGCTGCACAAGACGATCCCAACTTGATTAGCTGAAATGGTGTACATCTTGTACAACATTCTGACCAGACCTCCACAAAATACTCAGAGACTATTTGCAATTTTAAAAGACATTGATCCTGAAATTTAACCATCATTTTACTTTCACAGGATCCCCAAGAAAGAACATCACCCCCATGACAGCAAGAAGTAATTCCAGGAAGGCTCTGGAACTCACAGAGATCCATCTGCCTCTGTCTCACAAATCCTGGCATTAAAGATGTATGCCACAACTGTATGACACCTAGGGCCTTAGCTTCACCATTCATTATCAGTGTCAGGTGTGGGTTCCAGCTGATGGAGTTGGATTTAAATACAATTAGAAAGTTGTTGATTACACCCATAATGTTTATGATGTTGTTGCACCAATATATCTTACAATTAGGTCACTGTTGTAGGTAACAGGATTTTTAAATGTGTGAGACTGATGATTGCTTTTCTCCTTCTGTAGTGTGCACAGTACCTTCCAGCATTATTGATGAAAAGAAGTGGAGAAGAAGCTTGGATACAAGTTTTGTTTCTCCATCTTCAATGATAAAGGTTGTTTCTCTTCAGTAACCAATTGTGTTGGCAATAGCCTATAATGTTTTGTTGGCATTCTCTAGAACTCCTTTGGCCAACAAGTCACAAGATATAGCCAGTTCCTGGTACTTGAGATTTTACTGGTAATATGTTATTTTGAGTTGGAGGATTGTCTCCCTTATATGTCATAATGCAATTTTAATTATTTTAGTAAGCTTCTAAAGTAGTACATTTCATATGGCTTTTCAAAAGATCTTTAATATTAATTATAGGAAATGTTAGTCATATATACATATACATACACATGCATATATATGAATATATATATTTGTAGAGAATCACCTTATCTCATATTTACCTAAAATCACATATAATATAGATGTGTGTGTATATATTAACATATATTTTAAAGATGTTATGGCATTTATAGTGAAAATACTCCCCCCCATGTGTCATATCATATTTAAGAAAACCCCAGTATCATGCATTGAAAACATCTTCTCAGTTGCTGGTCAGGGTAGCCCAAGAGACCTCTAAAACAGTATCATCTATTATTGTACTTTATTGGCTCATAGAACTTGAAGCTACTACTCTGTTGTAGAAGCATTTCAAAACATTTCGGACACAGAAATTGGGAAATTTTAACTGAAACTGACCTGGCACCTCTTCTCTGAGAAGTGGATTTCATAGAGAGATAAGCTGCCAAGAAAGAGTAGTAGTCACTCTATCTATCCAGATGTGATATCTGTGAGCCACAACAATTACTGAATGGTCAAGACGTCCACCATGGTGCAATAGTCAGACTTTCATATTGGTGCTTCAAGTACTATCAAATTGAACTTAAGATCCACTCAACAAGGGGGTAGCCATGTCTACTTCTGTAAACATAGACAACTACTTGGGCCTGAAAAGGGCATAGATAGATACATGTATTGAACTAACTACTGACAGTTAACTAAACCAGAATACTTTCTACTGATTTCTAAATACCTATCATTATACACACAGGTTAATATAGTTCTCACCCTTCATCAAAGAAACTTCTTTTTGCAATATATGAAGACTCTCACAAAGTCCTGCAGCTGGTCAAAATGCAGGTGGTGATTGTAAGATGCCAAACCCTAACTGTTACATCTGCAATGAATCCTTTCAGCCTAAGGCTTGGGGAATCTACAGAAAAGGGGACAGAAAGCCCCAGACGTCCATGTTCTCTATTGATAGAATATATCCCCTAGACCTGACAAGGAAGTACACTTATGGACACTCAACAGTATATATACCCAAACCACCAATGTAATGTCACCAACTGGTATACAAATAAGGGTGAGGAAATTCTACATGATCTTACCCATACATAAAGGTATACATAAGGGCATTAGCTGCTGAAAGAGAAAGAATCATATATGTAGCCATGAAAATTAAAGAAGAAATCATAAATATAGGAAAGAGTGGGAGATGTTGGATTGGGAGAGGGGAGGAGGGAGTCATGCAGTGCAGCTAAGGCATTATGAGTTTCTCAAAATCAAGTACCAGTGTAATAAAAATAATTGCACATGACAACATTTTGCATGATCTCTGTAATAATTAAGAATATAGGAAACCATTCTGAAAGCAAAATTTTATTGGAAAACATTTTAAATTATGTTCCATTTCTATGTCTTTGTACTTTTTATTGAGTTTCTAGTTTGGGGTCAGGAACTCAGGCTCACAAATGCTGAAGAATGATTTCTGAGTTAGTTAGCAATTACTTAATACAACAACCTTTGGCTGTTTTCTGCAATAACTGAGTAAATTCACTAGGCAATAGCTGAGAACCTTCCAAGCTCATACCCAGGCCTTGCCAGCTCTGGTGACAGTCGTGCTCTTCCTTACTGTCTTAGCACAAACTACTAAACCGTTTTTAGCTGTGTGGCCACAAGTAACCTACACAGCCTCTAAACACAAATTGCCCATGATCAGGCATTATAACAAAAGAGTTCCATTGTGTAGTATTCTGAGGGCCACCAATCCGAAAAGACAGCAAGTTTATGCCCTAAAGCCTGCTTCCATCTAATTTTCAGCC